ACAGGTCCAGAACCAAGTCTGCTCAAGGGTTCTCCAGTCTATTGATTGCTAAAGACGGGTGCGACCGGGAGGAAAGGCTGGTCAGTCCGGAGGTGCCGTGCCTATGGCCTGGATCTCAGAGGACAGAGGCAGCAGAGGTGAGCAGAGCTGTCTCCAGCAGGTGGGAGTAGCCAAGATGTTGGTGGTGGCCGTGATTCACACCAGCGTCTGGGCTGCCCACTTCACCCCTCTGATAGCCACAGTAAAGAAGGCCCAGAGAGGGAAGGGACGAGTGTGAGGTCACACAGGTACTGCTGCAGCTGGGATTTTAACAGGTTTCTTACAGATTCCAAGACAGGTGTGCACAGGTCCGCGCCGCGCTGTGCTGAGAAATCGACAGCATCTGCCTCTCCAGGGGAAATCTACTTCTACAGAGAGATACACGACGAATTTCACTAATGTTAAAGAATGTTGCACGTCATTTCTGAATAATATTATGCCATTCTCTTTATTGTAAATTCCATACCGTTATGACTTCAGGGTGACATTTCTTGTAAAGAAGAAGAAGGAAGGTGGGGGGGAGGGAGTAAGTTTTTGCAAAATCGAGTTCCAGTTTTTCTAATTCTGTCACCAGAAAAATGAGACTACAAATAAATGCTCAGAGCGATCCAGTTCAGTCGAGAGGTAGCTCACGTCCTTGATGGGGACTGTTGTTCCCATGTCAATGTTGGTTGGTTTTTCTGTTGAGGTTAGAGAGTCAGATCAAAGTTGACAATGATGGCAGCATAGGTAGGGACATGGTTTATCAAAATATAGCAACGTGATCAGGAAGTGATGGGTTTTAAGAATCCATTGGCTTTGTTTTTAATATTCTGTGTTTTTCACTGGAAGGTTGTGTTATTTAACTTGTAAAAGTGGTTCCTAAAATTTCTGGAATTTTAACATCTGTCCCTTTGTGAGCTGTCATGACCCATCTCATTTTGTCGGTGGGGCGTCTGGGAGAGAAACACGGGGTCTCCACGTGTCAGATGCCCAGAAATCCAGGCCCTTGGCTATCTGAAGGCCTGGAGCTGCGGCCGTCCCTGGCCCATAGGATTAATGCTGACCATAGAGGGACTTTGTTAAGGGTGCCATCTCTGCCTTAGGCACTGACCAGATGCTTCGGGTGACTCAGAACCCAGACATTTCTATGCCCTGGGCTGGTGTCCCCCCACCTCCCCTCTCTGTGTCCAGGTGTGTGCGTGAGGGTGGGGCGGGGAGATCAGAGATGATTTTCACCGTCCGCAGGAGTCCTGTGCCTGCCCACCCCTCCTCATCTGCTCAGCAGCAGAAAAGCCTGAAACTCACCCTTCGTCTCCTTTATGTCAAAAAGTGCTCTCTCTCTCCCTCCTTCCTCTCTTCTTTTCTCCCTCCATTCCTTCCCCCCTTTTCTGCCTTTCTCAGTAAACATCTTGTCAAGACGTAACCTACACCCAGAACCTGGTACATGTCATAAACACACGCTCAAAATGTGTTTGTGTGGCTCACACGGCCCTGAAACCGGAGCCTGGATCGGGCCGCACCACGTCCTCCTGGGCCCCCTTGGTCCCAGCCCAGGGAGGCAGCCCCCCACCTCTAACCCTTGTGCATAGCTGCCCTGGGTTTCGGCCTGGGGTCGAAGGAACCACCCCATGGGGCTTCGTTTGTGCCTGGCTTCCGTGTGGCATCCCTGAGACCTGCTCCGCATTCCTGTAGAGCAACAAGCGCTGTCTCTGTGCAGTGTGCAGACCACCTGTCTGGAGGATGGTGACACACTCATTGGACAAGCCAGAAGGCGGCAGCTGAAGGGATGCAGACCGGCCCCTGGCGCCTGGGATTCCTCAGCACCCGAGGCTCCACGTTCCCCTCTTTTGGAGATCTATTTTCTGACCCAGGCTGCGGGCTCTGCCCTGGGGTTTCTCTGAATGATCGTCATTCGAGGAGTGTGTCCCAAGTTTCAGGGGTTTCCGAGCTGAGTTGGGGAACAAGCAGGGGAAGTGGAACTCTTGAGCAAGAGGAGCTGGGCTTCCTCCTGATTTCCCCACAGCCTCGGACATGGGCACTGCGGCCTGGAAGGTGGGGGGCGGCTTCCGGAGATGCACTGGTTTCTTTTATGTGTCAGCTTGACGGACACAGGTGACAAGGTGTTTGGTTACAGGTTACTCTGGGTGTTTCTGTGAGGCTTTTTCTAATTAGATGTGCATTTGTGTTGTGGCTGAGTCCAGCAGCCTGTCACTCTGATGTGGGTGAGGCTCGTTCAGTCCACCCGAGGCTGAGTGGGAAAGGCTGGCCTCCCCGTCCTCCTGCTTGACCTCCTCCAGACTGAGCCCTGACTTCTTCTCAGTCAGAACCTCAGGTCTTCCTGGCTCTCCAGCCTGCTGGCCTTTACCCAAGACCGGCAGTGTTCACGCTCCCTCTTCTCTTGGGCTGTAACTAAACACCCTGGTTTCTAGTTTGCCAACCGAGGGTCTCGGAACTTGTCAGCCCCCATAACCACATGAGCCCATTTCTCTTGATACCCCTCATTCTACCTACTGGGTGTGTGCACCCATCGGTTCCTTCTCTCTGCAGAACCCTGGCTGATCCGGGAGATGAACCCGAGTGTCTTCTGTGGTGTGCAGCACACACCTGGGGCTGGGCCAGGGACGCAGGCCCCGGCGAGTCTGGCCACTGAAGACGTGTGCCAGGGCGGTGGTTGTGAGGATGGAGAGGAGGGGGAGGCGGGGAGGCGTACTCAGGGTATCACCACAGCACATGGGGCCTGAGGACTAGGGGCTGGGCCAGAGAATGATGGGTGGGGGAGGAATCACACGGTTCATGACCCCCGTGACCCGGCCTGGGGTGGGGGAGCTGAAAGAGCATTGATCACGTTTTATATTTTCAGCATTTTATGACGTTTCGACAGTTGAGCGGGTCTCAGATGCAGGGGGAGATTAATCTCTAGCTAGTTCCTAGAGACAACCACGGAAGCACACCTTTCATAGGAGAGCCCAGCAGTCGGGAGACGGGAGGGAATTCTGGATCATCCCTGGGACCAGTGTCCTAGGTGAAGGAGGGCGGCAGCGGGGTGGGAGCGTGAGACAGGGTCGGAGGTGCCACGCTGCTGGATTTGAAGATGGAGAAAGCGGCTTTAGGTCGTGGAAAGACGGCCAGCCCCTGGAAAGGGGAAGGAAAGGATCTCTTTGCCAGAAGTTCTGTTAGAAACAGCACTCTTGATACTTGATTTTAGCCCCGCAAAAACCCATTTCAGACTTCTGACTTCCAGAACATTTGGGTAACAAAATTCTTTGTTTTGTCAACCCACCAGATTTGTGGTATTTGTTACAACAGCCCCGGAAATGAAGACAGCACATTGCTACCCACGGGTACATATATCACCCTTTTCTTTGGTTCTCTTAACCCTACATGTACCTTCATTAAACTCTCTTCAATCAAATAATTTGAATGTGTTGTCTCTTTATAGAGGGGACTATTACTGAATTATGGATGCAGGAAAAGAATAATAGACCTTCCCCAAATCATAGAGCTTCTAAGTGAAGTCAAGATTCCAGTCCAGACAGTGTGACAAGAGATCTGTATTCTTAGTGTCCAACTTCTATTGGGAGGGGTTTGTTTTCATGGATGCAGCATTCAGGGGTGAGCTGGATATCCTCAGGATTTGGGAGTGGACAGGGGCTATCATCTGTCCTTGTTCTTTTTTTTTTTTTTTTGTACCTGGGATTAAATCCAGAGGTGCTTAACCACTGAGCGACATCCCCAGATCTCTTTTTGATATCTTATTTAGAGACAGAGTCTCACTGAGTTGCTTAGGGCCTTGCTAAGCTGCTGAGGCTGGCTGTGAACTTGTGATCCTCCTGCCTCAGCCTCCCGAGCTGCTGGGATTACTACCACACCGGGCTGTTCTTGTTCTTTATGCCACATCCTGGGCCATTCTCTCCTGCCTTTTATTTCTGGTCCATGCGGGACCAGGTGATTCCCCAGCAGGTCGGGCAGAGGGCAAAACCTACTCACCAAGTTATGCCCATTTCCCTCAGCTTGCTCAGCCTCAGCCACAGGCACCGACCGGTTGAATACATCCTGGCAAGTATCTTAGAGAATTTAGGAAGGAATCATTCTTTGCAATTTGCAAATCCCCCTCTAGCTGGATTAAGCTCACAATCTGCACTAGAAGAACACAAGGGGATCTAAGGGGAGACTCCTGCAAAGAGCACATCTCAGTCGGAGGAGCTGGATATTGTCCGGTGACCTCTCTCTGCCCCGGCAATCCGAGACTCCTTGTTGTCAACTCTCACATCTTCTTTGCTCAGATGGATTCCTCCCTCCTCTCTGTGACTCTTTCTACCAAATTAGAGAAACTGAGGGTGTTTGGGGAACCTCTGAACTTTCTATTCGTGTCAGAAACGAGGGCTTTCTTGTGCAAGGACCAGGTGGGTCCTCCAACCTGGTACCACATCCTGTCCTGGTCTCAATTTCCCCCCGTATGTCAAGATAGGAAGAAGTCAGCTGGCTTCAGGGGGTGGGAGATCTAAAGAGATACCTGCTGCGCGAGTTCCTAAAAGAGGTGCAGGAGCAAAAGGTTTGATGCAACAACCATTTATTAGAGGAGTCAGACAATGCCCTGCAGAGGCTGAGGGTCAGAAGGATAGATTGTATCAAGGCTCCGGATGCTGTAATGAAGGCTTGGAAGGCGCCTGGGTCTGCTCAGGAAAGATCTTCCTGGGAGTCCAGGGAAGGGGCTGAGTCCTGAGAGCAGCCATCGCTGCCCAGCCTTGGGCTTCTCCCGAATCCAGCTTTCTTCTCCCACTTTCTTCCTTTTGTGTTCTCTCTCTCTCTCTCTCTCTCTCTCTCTCTCTCTCTCTCTCTCTCTCTTTTCTTTCAGAATAATGTGATGCTCAGTGCGTGGTGTTTAAGTGACTCCCTCATCCTCTCAGAAAGGATGCCGTCACTGATAATTGGCTTGGGTTGGGACGATGCAGTGGGGGGGGTCAGGAAGGCAGAGACCAGGGGTGAGGAGTAGAGAGCTCTGAATTGGGGAAAAAAAAAAAAGGAAAAGAAAAGCAGAAATCTTGAAGGAGGAGCTGGGAGGGAGGATGGGCTCCGAGGGTGTCTGAAGTTCAGCTGGACACTCTCACCTTGCTCTGCGGCTGACCGGCCCAGAGCCCACATTACCAAACTTCTCGAAAGCGTGTTCCCCATTGGGGGATCTCATGCAACTTCCTGGGTTCCACTCTGGGTGAGCCAAGCTCAGAGCAAGGGGAACAGGCACCGGATACTCTGTGAACTGGACTCATCCTTCACTGAAGCCAGCGTTGGCGCCCCGAGGCCCGCCCCGTGGGGAGGACGATGGGTTTCCCCAGCCTTTACCGCAGGAGGAATTAGGCAATCTTACCGGGACCTTCAAGGGCTTCAGCTGACATCTCACAGCTCCACAGTGCATTTACTTTTTGGCCTGAGGCCTCTTACAAAGTACCTTGTAAATTTTTTTTGTCTGATTTAAGCCCTACCTCTCCCTCCTCCTTCATTTCCTAAGGTGACCCTGCAGTTGATGGTCCACAGCAGGACACTTTTGAGAAATGAAGTGGACATTATTAACAACGTTAGGGTAATGGGTATCAACTGGGACCCTTTTGGGTTAATGAGGATGCATGATTTCTCTTCTCACCTCTGACCAAGCAGGCAAAAAAGAAAAAAAAAAAAAGACATCAGTAGTAACCTCATATCTTTTCCCTCTCCCCAAATCAAGGGGCATGAGATGGGCAGCCCACAGCTGGGGGACAGTGTCACTTGAGGAGAGAGGAAGCTGGGACTGGAGCTCCCAGGTGACCCCAAACCACCCCCCCTCACTTTGGCTGTAACTCAACCTCTGCAGGGAGCGAGGAAGAGTTGGTGGCTGTGTCACTGGGCTGGGCCGAGTCCTCGGTCAGGGCCCTCTCCAGACTGGCCGGCAGGGAGCGGATCAGCCTGTCCCGGAAGTCCTGGCCCATGAAGACGTAGAGCATGGGGTTGAGGCAGCTGTTGAGGAAGGCCAGCGAGCTGGTCACGTCGATGGCTAATCTCAGATCACTGGCCAGACCTGTCAAGAGGTCGAGGATTCTGATGGTGGCTACGAGGGCCACAACCTGATACGGGCACCAGCAGAGAAGAAAAGCAGCTACGACAAAAGACAGGACCCGCAAAGGGCGGCTGGATCTGATCAGGCCTTGTCTGTGCATTTTCTTGGCGATGAGGCCGTAGCAGATGCCAACGATGGACATGGGCATGCTGAAGCCGATGATGAACCGGATGATCCCGCGGACCGTCAGCATGGTGATGGCCACTCTCATCTTCTCTGCAGGGTCTTGGGTCCAGGGAGAGAAGTCGAAAGTGCAGGCTGTTTTCCCAGTCCCACGCACATTCGTCACTGTCGTCACGCGGATGATGACTGGCAAGGTGAGGAGCAGGGCACAGAGCCAGGGCCCCAGGATCACCCTCTTGGCCAGACTCACGGTGCGGTGGTTCTGGGCCCAGACCGGGTGCAGGACACAGATGCAGCGGTCCAGAGCGATGAGGGCGATCAGGAAGACGCTCCCGAACAGGTTAATGTCCACGATAGTAAAAATTAGCTTGCAGAGGAACCAGCCAAAGGGCCAGTGTCCCCCCATGGCCTTGGAGACTATGAGGAAGGGCAGAGTGGAAGTGAAACAGAAGTCGGCCAGGGCCAGGTTCAGGTAGCTGATGGTGGTGACCGTGCGGGTCATCCGGAAGCCGGCCACCCAGATGACCAGCCCGTTGCCGAGCACGCCGAGGACAAAGGTGACCCCGAGTACCAGATAAGAGATGACATTCAGGACGACGTAGCCCTCGGATGCGCCCTGCACCCCTGCAGATGCGTTCGCGGGAAGAGAGGAGTTGGCCTGCATCCTGTCCACACCTGAAGTAGTTCAGCAGTGAACAGGCTTTAGTTATGGACCCCACACAGGTTCTCCAGCCCCTTATCTCTGCACCCACTACCGTCCACTCACTCCCTCGCTGTCCTCTAGGGTTCCCATACCAGCTAGAACAAAGTCACCACTGTCCCTTGGATCTACCCGCTTCTAAATATGGTCAACCTCTTAACAGACCTGCTGGGCTAGAGGGCGTCCTATGTTCCCCTGGCAGCTCACATGCAAGTCTCTCGCCAGGCAGACTGAACACAAACGTCCACAACAGGCCCTTCACAACAGCCCGAAGAGGGGGACAACCCGGGGGTCGACCAACAGGTAAACGGGTGAACAAAACACTGCATTTCCCCACAATGGAATATAAGAAGAAATAAAGTGTTGATACACACTACCACACAGATGAACTTTGAAAATATTATACAAAAGAAGCCAGACCCCCAGGATAACCTATGTATGATTCCACTTGCAGTGAATACCCAGAATAGGCCAAGTCAGAGAGAGAAGGCCGATTAGTGGCTGAAGTGGTGGTTACAGGTGTGACCTGTGACCTCAGCTACTTAGGAGGCTGAGGCAGGAGTATCACACAAGTTTGAGGCCAAGCTGAGCGATTTAGCAAGGTCCTGTCTCAGAATAAAAATTTAAAATGTAGTGGGGAGGGGGGCGTGGCTAGGGATGTAGCTCAGCCCCTGCTCAAGTTCAGTTTCAAGTCACCACCTACACACATACACACACACACACACACACACACACACAAAAGGTAGGTTAGTGGGTGCCAGAAGGTGGGGGCGGGGGGGATGAAGAGTCATTGGATGCAGAGTATAATCTGCAGTGAGGAAAAAGTGGTAGAACTAGATGGTGTCACTGTTGCACAACATTTAAAATGCACCTACGACCACTGAATCGTCCACTTAAAATGTGAATTTTATGTTGTGTACTTTGGCACAACTTAAAAACAACCACAACAAAACAAAAAAACAGACGAAGAGCTGGTGCCTGGACTGAGGAAGAGGTGGGAGGCAGCCCTGCTCCTCGCGAGGCGCTGGGAGCCCTGACTGCCAAGACCAGCTTTCCTGCCCAGGGGCTGCCCACTCTCAGGCTCACCATGGAGGCCTCCCCTCCGTGCTGTGGCAGGCACATCGTAATGAACACTCCTTAGCTGTGAATGAGGGGGACAGATCAGAGTGACAACCGGTAACATGTGGGCCAGGGTTACATCAGGTGGCCTCTGTGTCAGCAGGAGCCTGGGCAGGGGACCCTGTCTCCCCTGGCCTCTGGGGCTACCCCGTTAGGTGGATGGGATGCTCTTCTCTGCCCACTGGATGGGCTCTGACTCTCAGGGATGCAGAAGAGCAAGATAGAAAGGACCGTCCAAACGCAGCCATCTCACGAGATTCAATGTTAGAGAACAAGCCAGGCTCAGGCCCCAGGCCTTGGTCTCTTCTGATCTGTGCAGCAGGCTTCCTCAAGGGGTGGATGAGTCAGTACCAAGAGGCTCAGTGACAGATGACAGACACATACACACAGAGTAAGGCTAGGGTGGTGGGTTTGTGGGTTCTCATCTCTCTCTCTCTCTCTCAAGTATGATACGCCTTGTGCAGATTTAGGGCATTTAAGCTCATTGCTTGGAGTCTTCCAATAGCCAGGGTCTTTCTGACCGCTGGGCTGTGCCACCTCTACACACAGGCCATCTCACATGGCAGGGGGTCCTCACATGGGCTTTAAGCACTGTAACGCAGCCAGTCCTATGTGAGATGGGCCATAAAGTAAAATACCCATTAGAGTTGGAAGACTTAAGATGAAGAAGGTAATGTGCGATATCTCGTTTATAACTTTTATAGCCAAGAGCAGTGGCACACACCTGTCATCCCAGAGGCTCAGGAGGCTGAGGTGGGAGAATCTCAAGTTCAAGGCCAGCCTCAGCACCATAGTGAGACCCTGTCTCTAAATAAAAATACAAAAAGGGCTGGGAATGTGGCTCAGTGGTGAGGCAACTCTGGGTTCAATCCCTGGTACCAAAATAATAATAGTAATAAACTTTTACATTGACTACATATTTAAGTAATTTGGCCATATGGTTATATGATTATTTAATAAAATTGTATGTTAAATTCAATGCCACTTGCTTCTTCTTGCTTTATAAAGTGCCTGCTGGTTGTTTGAAATTGCACCTGGGGGTCACATTTCTACGGAACCCCAATGCTCTTTCCTCTCAGAAATGACTTGGAGAAGCCTCCCCCACCTCCCGGCAACTGCAGAGACAGGTGGAGGACGGCTTGTTCTAGGCATCTCTAAGGCAACCCTTGAAGTTTTGTGCAATGAATAAAGAAGGTTCTGCAATGATAGGATGGAGAAGGGCAGAGAAGAAAGCCTGTGAACTCAGACTCTGCCGCAGTTCACAGGAGAAACACTGGTTCCCCGTGGACATGAGCCCCGGTGCTGCCTGTCACTGTGCCACAGCTTCACCTGATCTCCCCAAGCTCCATGTGGACATGGGGATGGAGGAGGACACTGGGGCTTGCAGCAGGGTGTGACCTCGGTTTGCAGTTCTCAAGGGGGCAGAGCTGGATTCTCCCTCGTCACGTCCAGGACCACACAGGACGTGGACACATCCCTGCTCCCCAAGGCTCCCCGGTTCCTCCTCCACTCACGTTCACATGACATGACCTATAATGGCACCTTCAGTTCTTCCCCTCACAGCTCCGAGCCTCCGCTCCCCCTCCCACCCACAGCAGAAGCCCTTGCCTCCTGTCCCAGCAGAGCCACTGCCCTGGCTGCTCAGATCCACTGTTCTCTGGCTTCAGCTCTGTGAGCAGAACAGGGGATCCCCGCCCAAGACCCAGCCTGTCCTCAGGCTCCAGAGCCCCCTGCCCCTTTCCCTCCCTGATCCCCTTCCTCCTGCAGCATCCCTGTTTTCTCTCAACTCCTGATTGTTCCTCGGCACCCAGGGGGCTGCAGAGCTGCTCATCTTTACACAGTGCCTCTCTGACTTCAGCCCAGGTTTTAGTTGGCAGCCCATTCCCTGGCCATCCTTCACAGCAGAGCATCCTGAGAGGGGTGCGTGTCTGCTGTGCCCACGTCTTAGTCCTGACTTTCTCTATGACTTACCCCGGGGTATTCTGTACCCCACTCTCTGCTCAGAACACCCTTACCCAGCTCCATAGCCCAGCTACATGGGTCTCTCACCTGTGTGTAGCCCTCAGCCGTGGTCCTTGCTCTGGGAGCTTGAGTCCTTATTTCCAGGGGAATGACTCAGGCCCCGAGAGTCAGCAGAAAATATACCCAGGGGCAGGAGGAAGAGGCAGGAACTGAAACAAGTTGGGCAACAGAAAGGGGAAACCAGGACTCCTGGTGGTTCAGGAGGACCCAAGAACATGCCCACGGGGCACTGTTTCACCCACATCTGGGGAGTGCCCTGGGGCTTTTTGGAAACTCTGCCTCCTGGGCGTTTTCCTCAGCTTGGATCCCCTGTGGGCTGCAGATGCTCAAACTTCCCCCCATCAGGGGTCAGGGGATCTGGGCAGCCAGGCCCCTTCTCCCAAGAAATCATGATAAAGAAAGGGGCAAGTGCCGGGGTGAGAAAGATTGGTGAAGCGCAGCAAGAGGCAGAGATGCAGATGGGAGAGGAACCCGGAGCAGAGAGGGGAAGGGAGGCCAGGAGGCTGGGACAGTAGGACAGGCCTGAGCATCAGCCTCAGCCACCACTGTCCACATCCGCAAGGTGCCAGGGCTCCTGAAACGTTATGTGTCACCTAAGGTTCTGAGTGATGTAAAGAAATATGGAAAGACTGAAGAGGACTGAGTAGGAATAGATTAGGTTCTGTCTGGACAATACAATCACGATCCATATTTACTTGAATCTGTCCACTTTTTCATCCTAAATATTGTGGATTTCTTCCTGATTGACACCTTGGGCTACAAGGTAGCTGCCAGAGCTCCTGCATCCCATTGCAGCATCCCCAAGCCAGGGCAGTGGGGAATGCACAGAGCACCACTGAAGTTTTGAAATCAGAATGAGATATCTTTACGTTTGCATTTTATAAGAATTTATCTGTGGTCACACATAACATATATATTCCAGAAGACTCCCAAGGGAGGAAGGTCAGGACAGAATATATCTGAGAGTCTCGAGCAAGGCACACTTGGGGGAGAAGTCAAGTGAGGAGTATGGCGGGGGACACCACTGTGCCTGGTGGAGAAGGGCCAAGAGGGCCCAGAGAGGAGGACTCTGCAGGAGTACTGGCCAGCACAGCTCGACGTCTCCTCAAGGCTGGTGGCTCTTCCTGGTGCCCCTGCCTGGTGCCCAGAGGCAGGTCCTGTTCCTGGCTCCCAAACACTCTGCGCGTAGCCCACCAGGATCTGCAAAACGCACAGATGAGCATGAGCAGCACAGCCTAGTTGGGGTGAAGTAAGAAGGAAAGTCTCAAAGCCGCTTCCACCCAGGTGGCCCCATTGCCTAATCTAGGCCAAGCCCAAGGAAGTGGCTCTGGGGTCCAGCCAGGGGGCATCTCTGGGCATGAGGCACATGCCCTCCACCACTGAACCAGGGCTGCCTGACATGGCTGTGAGCCTGGGCTGGTGCCACCTGGGCTGGAACCCAGGCCCAGGGGCCACTGGTTGTGTGGCTGACCCGCCATTTAGCCAGGGGCCAGCATTTTCCGTTAAGGGCCACATAGTGAAGAGTCCACATTTGGTAGGGCACAGGGTCCTCGGGCAGCTGCTCAGCCCTGCTGGACTGCAGGAGGACAGCCGGGGCCACACACATGACCTCAGGACACTGCAATTGGATTTGGTGCTTTTCCCTGCTCCCAGTGCTGACGATGGCACCTAGGACCTCGTGCATGCCAGGCAAGCACTCTACCACCAAGCCACACCCCATCCCACCCTCCTATGTCACTTCTCACTGTCATGAAATGTTCTTTTTTTGGTTTTCTTCAATTAATAAAAAATGTAAAATCCATTCTTGGCTCATTTGACCCCTGGATGAGCCATCCTGAGTCTGTCTCTTCACCGCTGAGTCGAGAGTCCCACTATGTACAGAGGCCTTTTGTTTTAACTGAACAGCTACTATAACTGATGCGAATCACTCACCATGAATTCCTGCGTGGCAAACACAAACATCCTAGTCATCAGAAGAACACTCTTGTCTCCGATTTTGCATTCTCTGTGTGTGGACCCCTCCGGGTGGGCTTCACGTTCCACCCCCCATGGCCAACAGCCCCAGCCCCTGTCTCCTGCTCGGACCTCGCTCCTGAACTGCAGGCAGTGGTCTTCCTCGTCTGTTTGTATGAGCCCCTCTCCAGCATGTCTGGGGTGCCCTTTCCCATAGCTCCATTGTCCAGAGCCCCCTCCCCGGATCTCACACTGAAGCAGCTCAGAACGTGGCTACTTGGGGTGGGGCCTTTCAGGAGCTAAAACGAGGCCATCAGGGCGGGCCTAACCTCTTTTCCAGGCGTCCTCCTAAGAGGAGGACATTAGGACGAAGACGTGCACAGAGCACAGGCCAGGTGGAGGCTGCAGGGAGGGGCCCATCCACAAGCCACAGAGAGGCCCTGGGAGGAGCCAGCCCTGTGGACGCCTGGATCTTGGGCTGTAGACTCCAGCACAGGGGGAAAGCCCTTTCCATAGCTTGAGCCACTGCATCTCTGATGCTTCCTGTGGGGACCCCAGCAGCCAATGTGCTCTGCTCCTCTGAAGGCTCCCACCTGAGTGACGGTGTCCCCCAGTGCCACAGTGCAATGTTTCACAAGTGACACAAAGTCACTTGAACCTCCCCCCAAGGAAAAAGAACAACCCGCCCCCCGCCCCTGCAACCGGGAAGGGGAAGCAAAGAAAGGAAATGCAAGAAAACCCCCCAAGGCCAAAAAAGAACGGAAGAATAACCAAGGGGGAAAAACCCAACATCTGGCACCCGAGGGGTTGCGTAAGCAGAGGAGTGAGCTGTGCTTCCCAGACTCCCCGTCTTCCACAGCTTGTCTCCCATCCTTCCCACCTTGGTCCTTGTCACTTTCCTGACTCGCAAGAACTGGTTTCCATGATGCCTGATATCTGGGGACGGCAGGTTAGAGGTGAGGTAGCTGCAGACAAGTTACAAGAGCCCGTGGAGGACAGATCCGTCTCTCCAGGAAACGGTGAAACACCCTGGGCTTCTGTCACATGATGGGCCCTGACACCCTGTGCCCCTCCCACCTCAATAAAGTCCCTGCCAGAGCTCAGAGAGCCTGAGTCACTCCACAGGACGCCAGACGGCAGGGAGAGGACCCCAGCTCATAGTAAGTTGGGGTTTAACAATTTAAGAATCATTGTCTGCAGGCCTGTTCATGACAGGTAGCTCCTCAACCAAGAGCAGAGCAGTATCAGACCCTCCTGCAGCAGAGGGCTCCAAGCTCTCTCCTGGAGTGTGCAGAGGGCAAAACGTGCTCGCGATATTCAGAGGCAGAATGTTAAAAAAAATTGCTTTTCTTTAATTTATTTACTCTTTTTTACTTTTTGAGACAGGGTCTCACTAAGGTTCCTCCAACTCAGGATCCTCCTGCCTCAACCCCCGAGTAGCTGGGATTACAGGTATGCTCCCCGACACGCAGATCAATACTTTTTATTTTGGTGGCATGTTCCAGTGATATCCTTTTGGATATATTGGGTTAAATAAAACATTGCCCCTGAATTTTAAAGCTTGTTTTTTTCCCCCGGGTCCTGGAAAACTGTAGCCCTGTGGCTCCTATTTGTCATGTTTGTATTGGGCAGTGTGACTCCAGACACAGCCTTGAGCGAGCTGGACCGTCCTGTGCAGCTGGCCACCTAGTGCAGGGGGCTTCTTGGATGGAAAAAATTAATGAATAAATGAACTAGAAAAGCATCTGGTGAGGCAGGCTGTGCCTGGGTGGGGGTGGCCTACAACCTGGTGGGTGAGGACGTAAGATTTAGGATGACATGAGAATATGCAGGATGAGCTGGGCAAGGGCATGTCACAAGGAAGGATGCCAGGAGCTGCAGGGGACAAAGCACACAAGTCCCCGAGGGGGCAGTGAGCTGGCACATTCAAGGTCTCCAGAGAGCTCCGTGAGACAGGAACACGGTGTTTAAGATCTGAGTGGACACGGCTGGAGGCTCTGAGCACAGTAAAGTCGTGAGTCGTAAAATTTTGTGTTTTGAGGCAGGGCCTCCCTCTGGTGGCCCAGTCTGGCCTGGACTCCTGGGCCCTGGTGCCTCTCCTGCCTCAGCCTCCTAAGTGACTAGGACTACAGACTCATACCACCACACCTGGCTTCAATGTCGTGATCTTATTTGTCCTTTTGAAAGATCATTTGGGCCAGGTGCCATGGAGCACACCTGGAATCCCCACTTCTTGGAAGACTGAGGCAGGAGGATGGTAGTTAGAGGCCAGCCTATAGTGAGAACCTGTCTCAAAATAAAAAGGGACTGTGGATATAGCTCAGTGGTAGAGTGCTTGTCCAGCTGAGTTCAATCCCCAGCATCACACACACACACACACACACACACACACACACACACACACACACATACGTCATTTGGCTTCTGTCTAGAAAATGGATTGGGTGTGGAGAGGGGGTAGGCAGCAGGTTCAGGACCAAGTCAATGCAAGGTTGGTGACGATACAAAGGACCATGGGCCAGCATAGTGGTGATGGGGACGATTCTGCTGTGTGGGCAGGACATTCAGAATCAGTAGGTTTGGACCGGATTTGAGGGCAAAGGAAAAAGAAGTCAAAGATAAGTTCTGTATTTGGAGTTTTAATCAGTGAATGTGAAGCTCAAATAGAAAGCACTGGGAGAACAGCAGTCGGGACACTTCGGAGTCTGGTGTGGGCCATGTCTGTCAGGCGGGGTGCCAGGACTCCCTGGGGAGGGGTCAGGAAGTCAGTTCCTTGTATCAGAGGAGAGCCCCGGGGAGTGGCTCAGCTGGCCACATGGTGAGACGCCCTCGGCAGGATGCCTGCAGGGGACACGGGAGGGTCTCACCTGTGAAAGGCCCTAGCCCAGGTGCAGCCACCACTTAGTCAGGTGTGGAGTCTGGTAAAAAAGAAGAAGAAAATGAAGCTGAAGGTTGGGCTGGAAAGAAAGGGGCCGGTTGAGAGACCAGGAGGACAAGAGCGTGGGAGGTGACTTCGTCGCCTCACGCATCAGGAGAGCTCTCAGGGAGCAGGGGCCTAAGGGACTCTACCTCGGGATGTCCCTGGGAAGGAGCCAGGGGCATTGGCCAGAGGGGGTCGTACGTCAGTGTGGAGTCCAGAATCCGTGAGGAGATGAGGACGGGCCAGTCAGAGACTCCCCAGGCCTGGGGCGGCCTCCTTCCACAGTCCTCGGAGGCCCAGGGCTGAAGTCGGGAGGGATCCCAGGCCAAGGAAGGTCCCTTAAGGGAGGAGAGGACATGGCCGTGGGGGTGATCTGGTGGGAGGTGCATCTGGGGCGGGGGGATCTGCAGGGAGCTGCTGGGAGGGTGAGAGAGGACCCCAGCAGTGGAGAGTGAATCCCCTGTGCCTGCGGTGACCAGCACAGGGACACCTTGGGCTGAGGGCAGGGATCCCAGTCCGGTGGGTCCAGGGACAGTGGAAGCACTGGAGGGCCACAGGAAAGGTGGCAACGTGACGGTGCTGTGGAGGCCAGTGAGTCAGCACGGAAGTGCCGTTTCCACCTGAAGTCTGTGGTCCTGAAATCCAGTGGCCCCTTAATAACGGGGACATTGGGCAAGGGACTTCCCTCTCTGAGCTGCATTTCCTTTGTTACACAAAGTGGTGTCTGTCCCAAAGCCAGGATGTTGTCATCAGGAGGATTGGCACATCTCACCCTCGGGGCCCCCAGCACCAGGGCAGGACCCTCTGCAGGTGTGGTTCCTGCTACCCCTGCAGCCAGGCTGCACCCAGGATGGCCCAGCTCTGCCTGGAGGACCCGGCCACCGTTGTCCTTCCTGTGGTATGGGCATCTGAATCGAGCACTTAGAGCCCATTGAGTGCTGCGTACCCTCTAAGTGCCCAGTGGGATGACTGGAGGTGGAGAGAGGAAACCCGAGGCTGTTGAGGGAATTCGGGGTGAGAGAGGGTTCAGAGCAAGTTCTGGAGGAATCAGTCAGCCAGACTCAAGTTCTGTCTCCAGTTCTCTTCCTGGAGGTTCAGACCACTAATGTAACCAATCTAAGTCTTAACTGCCTCATCTGCACCGTGATTAGACTAATTATAACCCACACACAGCATTTGCAGGGTCTCTGAGCACATTCAGTGCTTAACACAGGTTAACACATGAGACCTCCAAGAGCCGCCAAGGTGGGAGCGGGTCGAGGGGAAGCTGCTTGAGGGTGGGCGATGACCAGGTGCAGCTCCTACTGTGGAGCACTCTCCTCCCCTCACCTGGAACTTCTACACTGCATAGCTGAGTCGAGCCCCGATGCACAGAGCCTGCTGGGGCAGGGTCCCCACCTGCTAGACTTCCTCCAGCAGGGCAGGTGATGCTCACCTGTGATCCCAGCAGCTTGAAAGGCTGAGGCAGGAGGGTGGCAAGTTCAAAGCCAGCCTCAGCAATTTAGTGAGACCCTAAGGAAGTCAGTGAGACCCTGTCTCAAAATAAAAATTGAAAAGAACTGAGGATTTGGCTCAGTGGTTACAATCCACAGTCCAAAAAAAAAAAAAATAGACTTGCTCCACCTACCCCCAAAATTTCCACCTATTGTCATTTAGTGCTCATCTGATATTGAGTCTCCACCATAAAAGCCTCTCCTCTCCTTCAGAGGAGGGAACTGAGGCTCAAAGAGATGCCATTGACCTAGAACTCATGTTGGGAGGCATCAAGATGGGATTGGAAGGCAGCTGTATCTGCCTCTGGAGCCTGGTAGTCTACAATAGTGTCCTTCAACCTGGGTGGTTTGACACCTGGGAGACATTGTATAACGTCTACAGCAGTTTGGTTGTCATTAGAGGGGACTTGCCCTGACGTCTGGTGGATGCTCCTAACTAACTCACAATGCATGTGACGTCCCCCTCCACAAGGAATCGCCCAGCCCCAGATGTCAGGAGGTCCGAGGCTGAGAAGCCCTACAACCCTCCTGAGGCTACACATACCCCATAGAGGACTCAGTCAGTGCCTGTGGCGAGCAGAGACCAGGACAGAAGGAATGAGACGGGAGGAGACCAAGGACAGAGTGCCAGACACCAGGTGCCATCCCACCTGGCCGTCTTTCAAGGGTGATTAGAATGGTAAAGGTATTCTCTCTGGAACTGGTAGAGCCTAGTTTTCAAATCTTGCCACCTCCACGGGCTGGTTGGACCCCTGCTGGCCCCTCAGGGCTGTGGTTTCTGCCCAGGTGGAAGGATGGCGTGGTGACCTTACAAGGTTATCATGAGCAACACTCTATTTGCAGACCACGCTGGACTGAAATCCTTCCTCTCCTCTTTAAGAGACCTTCAGCAGGTTGTATAATAGCTCTGAATACCAATTTATTCTTGCAAAAGCTAAAAATAATGAGCATTGTGGAGCTCTTCCACAGACGAAACTGGATCCCCTGTCTAGAAATGAACACCGTGCATGGTTTCTCATGAGAACCCTCCAACTCTAACATGTTACTCTCCTACACTTTATCCCCCTGCAGCTGTACAACACGTGCAGATTCTCTGCATCTCAATCAGAGAAGCGCTTGAGCTCAGACAGGGACAGTGGGTTCAGAGCGGCCTTCCTCACTGTCTTCCTCCAGCACAGAATTCACAGGCTGTAACCCATGACCACACAGCACCAAGTCGCCCTTCAGGCTTCTACTGGGGAGAGCTCAGAATCCACAGGCCCTTTGCTCTCCACTGCTGAAACAGTAGCTGAAACCATAAAATTAACTGAAATGGTGGCTGCACCTTCAGTCAAGGGCTGTCAAGGGACCTGGGGACTGCATGAACTGGGCACTGGAATGCTAGCAATTTTGCACTGAGTCGTGGGTGGAAGCAGGTTGCCACCTCCTGACTGCTTTCCTCGCTGTGCTCAGCGCCTGCTCCAGCAGTTGGGTGGCCTGTGCCCTCTCGGTTTAGTTCTTCTGCTGGTGCACAGGGCTTGCAGTCTTCTTGGTAAAGTAATCTGCCTGGGAGGCAGGATGTGGACTAACGATTGTGGGAATAGGAAGAACCATCCTTTCCCAAAAGACCATGCAGGAGAGTGCCAGTATCTTGTGGTACTGCTGGCCATGAGGCTTGGTAGAACGGGTCCTCTCTGGAGTAGGCGCCACAGAGGTGGGTGAGGCGGGCACTGAACAGGGATGCTGAGAGATGGACGCACACCCGAGAAACGGCCACTGTTGACGTGTTTCAGGTGTGGGCGAGATGGACCCCAACTTCTCCTTTCCTCAGAACGGATCTGAAGAGTCGTCCTATGAGTCCCCTGGCTACACGGTTCTGGAGATAATCCCGCTGGTGGTACTCGCCGTCACCTTTGTCCTCGGTGTGCTGGGCAACGGGCTGGTCATCTGGGTGGCCGGCTTCCGCATGACGCACACGGTCACCACCATCTGCTACCTGAACCTGGCCTTGGCCGACTTCTCCTTCACGGCCACCCTGCCGTTCCTCATCGTCTCCATGGCCATGAGGGAAAAATGGCCTTTCGGCTGGTTCCTCTGCAAGTTGGTTCACATCGTGGTGGACATTAACCTGTTCGGGAGCGTCTTCCTGATTGCCCTCATTGCTCTGGACCGCTGCATCTGTGTCCTGCACCCGGTCTGGGCCCAGAACCACCGCACCGTGAGTCTGGCCAAGAAGGTGATCGTCGCACCCTGGATTCTAGCCCTCGTTCTCACGTTGCCGGTTTTCATCTTCTTGACTACAGTCAGCGATCCCACAGGGAACGTGTACTGCACCTTCAACTTTAGGTCCTGGGGTGCCACCCTTGAAGAGAGGCTGAATGTGGCCATCACCATGCTGACCATGAGAGGGATCATCCGGTTCATCATAGGCTTCAGCATGCCCATGTCCATCGTCGCCGTCTGCTACGGGCTCATTGCTGCCAAGATCCGCAGGAAGGGCCTGATCCACTCCAGCCGCCCCCTGCGGGTCCTCACTGCCGTGGTGGCCTCCTTCTTCATCTGCTGGTTCCCCTTCCAGCTGGTGGCCCTCCTCAGCACGGTCTGGCTCCAGGAGATGCTGTTCCAGGGTAA